ATTGATATTTTTTTTTATCCCTAAAACCTATTTGCCAAAGAAACCAAATGCCAAAATTGATGTGTGGTTTCCCACATTCAAGATTTGACTAATTGCATTGGTTTAATGTAATTTATTTGTCCCCTTGTTTATTGGACATTGAAAGTTCAATGTAGAGGAATGATCATATTCAGATTTGATTATCTTGTTAAAATACTTGTTAAATGGTGTATGAGAAGGCATATAATGCTTGCTAGTCTTATAAATAATGTTAGTAGGAATGGCCATCACTGCCTATGTACAAAAACTCATTAAGAATTAGAGTGGTGCCAAAGCCGGTTTGGCTTAGTGGATGGAGCGTCGGTCTGCGGACTGAAAGGTCCCAGGTTCGATTCCGGTCAAGGGCATATACCTGGGTTGCGGGCACATCCCCAGTGGAAGATGTGCAGGAGGCAGCTGATCGATGTTTCTCTCTCATCGATGTTTCTACCTCTCTATCTCTCTCCCTTCCTCTCTGTAAAAAATCAATAAAATATATTAAAAAAAAAAAGAATTAGAGTGGTTTTTAAACTCCATTATTTCCTCTTTATTTATTGCCTGAAATATTTGTATGAAGAGATATTTCTATGTATCAAATATTTGGCTATTCTGGGGTAAAATTTTTTGGCATTTTTTTTTCTCAAGCATTACTTTTACACATTTTTTTCTAGTGTGAAATTTGTGTGTTTATTAAGAAAGAAAAAAACTTTTGAAAGATATTAAAGTCAAACTTTTTCAATTATTCAAATTTCAATGAGACTTTTAAGAAAGTTATGTTTAGATGGTTAGTGGGTGGCTAGAAAGTTGTTATTTTAAATAATTCTCAAGTGATAATTGAAGGAATGTGTTTAACTTTGTGCTAGATAGTTACAGAAAAGGGGGAAATGTAGGTGGTTATCTAAAATGCATTTATTTTAATATCCTTATCTTGAAGGACTGTTATAATGTGGCATTTGATCAATTAAGTGTAATAGTACTTTTCCTTTTCAAACCAGTGTGATTTCCTTCTTTGAATAAATGAATCAAACTCAGCTGGTTTGATTAGCACTACATTAATACTGTTAGGTAATGATTGCATTTTGATGTAGTGGATTTAAAGATATATGTTTATCAGGCATGCTTTTTTCATTGTAAATTTCCTACTGGATAGCTTTGTAACCTAGAAAAAAAATCACTTATCCTAGGAAGTAGAGGCAATGTATACTCTCTCTCCATAAATGTCAGTAACTTCTCTCTCTTGGAACGTCTAAGAATTTTTTAAGTTTATATATTACTTCCTTACTAAGGAACAGTAATCTCTTATCTATAAATTTGCTATGGGGGGAGGAATGAAAACACTAGACTATAGTATTAAGGTATTTAGACAAATTTTATATCACCTTAAAATGAAAAAATCAATAGTGCTTTAGCCTTAGTTCTGAGTGAATAAATACCAGCCATGTCTTTGCTATCTATTTACTAAATGTTTAACTGCTAAATAACTTTATGGCAAACACTTCTAAAGGCAACCACAAATACAGTATGTCCTAAATCATTCATACATTCAAAATATTAATAAATATACCTCATTTTGTTATGACAAGAAATCTTAAAACAAAAAGCAGGAGTTAAAAGAACAGGGAAAATGTGAGTAGGTCATTTTTTTGAGGTAGGTTTTAAAAGTGATCTAAACTCCCTTGTGAATGCCCTCATGTTTTGTACTTCATATTGAGAAACATTGTTTTAGATTCATCATTTCTTCAGAAATTATTAGTGATACCTTTCAAATAGACAGACAACTGGTTAATTCAACAAAACTAATTAACTAAACTGGGACATAATTGTATTTTTCTTTTTTGATCATTTGTATTGGAGTTTTTAGAGATGAACCTTACTAATCTGATTCCTAATATTCACTAACATAGTGAATTCACCTGTAAATAACTATGGTGATTTTATTATGATTCACATAATTCTGCTTCAAAAATTACATGTGCAAATTTTTACCTTATTAATATTATAATTATCAGTTACAGATTTAATATTATAACTAATCAACTCCTAAAAAATAGTGTGAACACCTATAATATTACAGCTTACTGCTTTTATTATAAAGGTGAAGAAATGTTGATAACATACCTAAAACTTTTCTTTGGTCAAAGTATCTTTACTTCTTTTCTTTCATTTTAACTATAAACTGTTAAAATTGTATTTTTAAGATAAATTTCCATCACTTTTGTGTGGTGTGCAATGTGCACTTTGCAATTGACTTATAATTGGACTATGCTGACAATGGAAAATCTTACAAGTATTGAACATGACATTTATGACAGTATTGCTGTCATCTTGGCTTCTTTTATTGAATATGCAGAGAATTATAATTGGGCTAACAAGCCTGGTAGCCTGGCCTCTTTCCAATTATATTAACCAGCCTGGTTGAGTATTAGCTGCCTGAACACACACGTATTAGGCATAAGGCTTTGTTTTCGTTCCTATTTTATTTTGGTATCTACCCAATAATCTAAGAATAACATTATCTGCCTCCATGTAACGCTGGAGAACTTTCCATAATTCACCTCCATTTCACTGAGAAATGTAAAGAAAAATGTGCCTTCTCTACATGTATCTCATTAGTTTTTAGTAAGACAATGCTTTTTAATTAAAAATTGGTTGTATTTGCTGCATATTAAATACTAATATTTATCTAATATTTTATAAAGGCTTTTGGCAATGCTTTTTGAATTCAGGCGAAAATTTTTAAGGGATGAATTTGAAACTTAAGAGAAATGTCCTTTCATGTGAGCAAGTCAGTATACTGATGCATTGAAATATTTTCTTTGAAATGGAGGCAAATAATACTTTTTACATAATCTAAAAATGCCTTTTAGTTTTGAGTAGTTTTAAACACAATATAAAGATAAAAATAATTCCTGATGTTAGACTTCTGAAATCTATTATAATTCTAGCAAGAATTAAAAACTTAATTTTTAATTGAAAAGCCAATATTAAGAATTGTTAAATGAAACAATTGTTAAATGAAACAACTATTAAAATTAGTGAGCTGAAACTCTGTGTATTAACCTGGAAAATGTGGAAAAGCAGACTGCAAAGTAATGTGTACAGCATTATCTTATTTTTAGAAAAAAATACACAAAATATATATTTACTAGTTTTTATAAGAATGGCAAAATTAATTTTTCTAACATTAGAAAACTGTTAACATTGATTATTTTAGTAGCTAACAGTGGAGAAAAATGAAATATTGTTGTTTTTTTACCTATATCATCTCTAATTTTTTTAGGTGCATCAATTTTGTAATAAAAACAAACAATGAAGTAAAATAACTATTTCATTCATTAAATAGGAGTAAATTTCTTGGTACAAATAACTTAAATTTTGTTTTAATATTAATCATTTTAGGGTCTTTAATGGTCTATACTTTATATTATGAATTACTTCATCATAGGAGCAATATCACAATAAAACTGGTAGTTTAGTTTTGGATCATTGCTTTTTAGTTTGAATTTATCTTCCTAATAACATTATGAACATTCTCCCTCTCAAGCCATATATACTCTCATTTTAAAACTGGGAAAAACAGAGATTGAATGGGCTTTAAGAAGGAATAATTGAGTTTTTTTTAAATATTTTTGTTTTATTTTATATATTTTTATCTGAAAAAATATTTTAAAAACTTGATACACATTTTTGTATGAGTTAGTGAAAGATAAATGCTAATAGTAAGATCACATTTATAATTGTAAAAAATTAAATTCTCTGTGAGTAGCCTGGCATGTAACTAGAAATGCTAGGAAATTTTATTTTGCTTTAAATAACTTGAAGGAATGAACTATAGACTAAAATTTCTCTATATGGTTCATAAGTACTTGATCTAAAATCTAAATTAAACTTCATTGAAGGTCAGTATGCCCAAGTAGAGACTGTGTATTGCCCAATTAAGGAATGTGTTACCACTTCATCTTTAACATCATTTAGGGAGTGAAAAAGACTATCTTCATTTTTAAATAGCATTTAAATCAAAATAGAATATATCACTTCAAAACATTTAGAGGTCTCTAATTATGCATTTTGTCTAGAAATCTCCCTTTGAATAAAGAACTCTCCTTTAGGTCTGTTATAACTTCCTCATTAAGTTTACTTCTAACCCCAAATATTGTTTACGACTAGATATAAATAAGCCTAAATTTGTACTTCTTAATGGTAATAATGCTATTTAAAGTAACTGAGTTTTCTAATTTCATAGCTATACGCTCAACCAAAAACCAGATAGCTGGAGGTTGATTTGGCTTTGTTGACCTGATGTTTGCAATTCAGTCGGTGACTCAATGACTTAAATCCCAATAGCATAAGGGATTTTGGAGTCACATACACCGATAATAAAATCTCACATTTGCTTTTTTTCCAACTATATTACGTGTCAGCAAGTAATTTGACTTGTCAAAGCCTCAGTTTCTGTTTCTGAGGCAACAGCCACAAAACTCCCACCTTGAGCTTGCTGTCATTAAGAGGGAGAAGTATGGAAAATGTTCAGCCTCAGTCTCTGACACTGAGTCAGCACGCAGTAAATACAAGTGGCTTGCCCTTGTGATTGCTCCAGACTTCGTGAGCTATATTTTAATTCTTAAATAATCTGAATTATATTTGAACTATATATGAGTATTTCTTTAATTCAATTATTACTTAAGCTTAGAGTTAAGAAGGAAATAGAGAAAGATTTACAGTCCTCAACGGAATTTCAGCTCCTATCTATTTTTTCTTTCTTATTCAAGAAATTAGATCATATACTAACAAAATATAACCAATTGTCACTTTCATTGTCATTGGCCCTATTCATAAAAGTATGTTGATCATATAATAATAAATGCATCTTTTTAGACTGTAGCTAACAGTTCTAACATATCTCTTTTTCTTATTAGAGACTCTGTTTAATATCTAATCTCTGTTTGTTCTCTTCTTCTTGTGCAATCTTTTCTTGGAACCAGCTGCTGCTTCAAAAAATAAAGTTAAAGGTGAGCTCCTGTCTGTTTTGCATGATTCACCATGATTCATTTTTCTGTTCAGTCCTCTAAGTACTCTTAAATGATGGAGCCAATTCTGTTGGTGATAATATTAGTTCAGTATATAAATATTCATCACAAATTTTTACAAATATAAATATATATATTATTTGAATTATTCAGCTTCTGATATATATCTGTGTTTGCATCATGATTTGTGAGATTTTTTGTTTGTTTGTTTTATTTCTCACTTTAAACATTGCTTTTGTGCACTAATATTTAGTTTTTTGACCTTTGTTTCCTTGGTGAAATTGTAAATTGGTAAAAATATAACATAAAATAGGCTGATAGAAAATCTCAAAATTGAACATACCCTTCATAGAATTATGTGAAGAGAAAATGTTATCTTTTAAAAATGAATATTATAAACTGTGGGCTGCTATTTATGATGTTCCTTCTATTTCCTAGTTGCATTAAGTTTGTATTTGCTAGAATTCTAAAATATATATTTTCACGAGGAAGGATGAACTTGTCTAATGCCAGAATGTTTCCCTGAAAGAAATATACTTTTGGCTTAATGTGCCAATCTTTACAGTTTTGAAAGAATTCTAGTATATGTATAATACTGTATCATAGGTTTATAGTTTATGTTTTGATTTTATATTCTCTACAACAATGTATATATTTTAAAAAATTTTCTCCTTCCTATAAAGTGAATATATATATATATATATATATATATATATATACATATATATATAATCTTTCATGTATTATTATGCAACAAAACTGCAATTATCTTATTGGTCATATATCTATTATCTTCAGTTTCCTCATCTACAGAGTGTGAATAAACAACAAGTACTTCAAAAGATTGTTGTAAGAGTTGAATTAGATAAACATTTGCATTTTAAACAATGCTGGTTTCCTTTTGCTTCTCACAAAACTGCCTCTTCTTTGTGAAGAATTTTATGAGTTTTTATCACTTATGTTGTGGTATCTATTATCTCCCTGTGTGTGCTCAGAAGAAATGAGCAGGTGGTTTTGTCTCTTTCTCTACTTCTCTTATTCAAATTCATCCCAAGGCCAACCTTCTCTGTTATCTTCTCCCTCCAGCCCTGCCCTTCCCCAGGTTTTAGTTTTATAGCTAGTTTCAACACGATGATAGAGTCATCTTTGAAAGTTAACTGCTCCCTATTTATAAGGCTAACCATTTAGTGTGCATGTACTATTTTCCTAGCAATATATTTGTTTTATAGAACACTAACGATATAAAAGACAAGATGGCAAATCCATGTTACCATTTGTCGTATCCTCTATATCTAGCCTAATGTGTGATTTTCTTGATGGTGAGAATGGCACCAGGTGTTAGACCTATGGAGTCAGACCAGACCTCAGTTCAGCAACCCTGGTGACTGAGTTCCAGCTAGGAAAGAATTCAGAGCCAAGACTCAAACTATAAGAGAAAGTTTATTTAGAAAACCACTGAGATAGAAGTGAGCAGTAGAAGAAATGGGCCCAGGAATTAAATTACATTATGGAGGCAATGGAAAGGCTCCTCGGAACTTAAGCGAGAGAAAGATAAGGGCAACTTGCTTAGGGGGAAGTGGAGCAGGATTGGAAAGGCACTGGTATGCTCCAGAGGGAGAGCAGACTGGGTCTTCTTGCCTAAGGGCTTTTAAGGGTGGAAATTTTAGGGAAGGTCCTAGGAAAGGATCTCAATAGAATATACATCAGCTTTCCAGGTGTGTCCTTCCAGAGTCAGGGTCTCCACTGATTGGTCAGCACCATAGCAAGGAGTGAGTAGTCAGTGCAGCTGGTCCTGAGGTTATCTGTGGCATCACTTGTCTGATTTTGCTGCTTTTCTGGGCCTGGAGCTGAAGCACAGCTGAGGTTTAGATGTTATCCCTGAGGGCTAATGTTTAAGGGAGTGGACATCCAAGGGCCCTCATGGGAGTCACATGAGGCCACTCTTTGATTCCTTGTTTCTCTTCCAATGGAGTCTACCACACAACTATGGACATGGCAGGGGAGGAAAGGTCAAGGGAGGGTCTGAGCTGCATGGCCAGTGATATGAAAGGTCAGGGCGTCTAAACCACAACCAGGGTATACTAGGTAAGGAAAGGTTACCCTGGAAGTAAGGTCCTTGCTCTCCCAGTTTTGCCTGCATCTAGGCACCCAGAGCTTTCAGCTCTAGTGGCCATCCGTACCTGGCCTATCACCCTTGCTATGCTCATGTCTGTCTAATTGCCTACCACAGTTTCTGTAAATGTGCTAGAATAATTATTTAGGCTGGAGTCCTCCTCAGAGAATGCTTTAAGTTGCAGGTAAGGCTTGAACTGATTCTTGATGGTTGGGTAAGATGTTGAAAAAATTAGTAGAGAGAAAAAATAGCAAAAGCATAAGTAAAGGTATAGAAATAGAAATGAGAAGAGTTCATTTCAGTATAATGAAGACAGGTTTTGAGGAAAGACCTGTGTTATTATGGAAGTGGAGGAAAATAAATGTGTTGATTCAATAGGCAATAGAGTGATTGTGAGCCATTACCATATTTTACTACATAAAACCTATTGTAATACTCAAATGTATGATCACCTAATAATTTTTAAAAACAAAGGACAATAATTCAAATGATAATATACTAGAGGCCCATTGCATGAAAATTTGTGCCCTGGGGCAGGGGTGGGGGGGTGTTCCTCAGCCTGGCCTGCCCCCTCTCACAGTCCAGGAGGGCAGCCTGTAGGATAGTTTGTGGGAGGCGACTGGCTGATCAGGGGAAGGCACTGCCCCCATCACCCCCTCACTGTTGCTGCCTCTGGCCTCCCTCTGTGGGAGGCGACCCAGCAATCAGGGGAAGGCGATGCCCCCATCTACTGCTGCCACTGCCAGCCGTGAGGCTGCCTGAGCCTTGGTTCTCACAGACACTGCAGTTTGCGTGAGCCTAAGGCCGCCCTCATTGCCTGATCCTCAGGCCTTCGCAGTGGCAGCCGCCATCCGAGGCTTGCCTGAGTCTTGGGCTGGCCTTAGGCAGTGGCAGCCACCATCTGGTCCCCCGATGCACCTCCTGTTCAAGTTCCCACCGGGGATGCATCATCAAGTCCCCATCCACCCATATGTGCCTTGCAGCTCACCCAGCCCCGCCCACCCACGCTCTCCTGCCGTGCACGCAGCCTCCTGGTTATTGCTCATTGTGGCATGAGGGAGTCATGGGTGATGGCATGACGACCACGTAGGCTTTTATTAGTATAGATAAGTTACAAAGTATTAAGTATAGAAAAACAATTTCCCAATGTAGAATTATAGCCATAAATTATATTACAGGTATCTGTTAAGTCATGTCAGAAATCAAGCTGGCTAGGATCTTACAATTCAAATATCCTTCTGCATACAATTTGGTGCTTTTCACATCACCATCCCTACTGTTCTACACCTATTTATTTTATACTCCGGAGTATAAATCTCCTTTCTCCAATTGTGTACAAGCCTGCAGGGAGCTTTGGGACATAGTTTGCCTATGTTTTTGCATCTATAAGGTCTTATAGAGACCAGAAATGACACTTTCTAAAATGAACTGTACCTCAAGTAGAAATTGAAATTTTATTTCTATCAATTGAAACATATATTATGTAGAGATAATAATAGAGAGAAATACTCAATGCTTTTATTAACCAATTTCCATGTTAAGGAAAATGGCATTCCTTAACATGAAAAATAAAAGAGTGGGTAAGAGGATAATAAAACCCAAGGTAATATAAAACACAGTTGCTTAAAAATAGTTCATTTCCTGGTCCAAACAAAATATATATATTACAGGGAAACAAGGGAAGTTTTGAAGAGGATCATATTTCACTCATTTCTTCCCATGAAATCATCCAAATGTGGGGAGCCTCTGAAATATTGGAGAGAGTCATGTGTCCTGATATATATATTTTTAAGAATTACATTCCAGAACACAAAGTCTAATAATGTTTTGACATTAACTTCCCAATAAAATTTTTAAACAGACTCTTAAAATAATTTATGGGTGTTTACATTAAAAGAGAGGATATACTAAGAGTCAACATTCATTAGTAATGGTGTAGGAAATTGTCCTAATTCCCTCCTTATTTTTTTTTATATTGGTTATTATCCTGGTTTCTGAGGACAAAATTATAAATATGTCTGAATTTCATTAAATCATTTAACAGCTAATGCTTTTCTTACCTATGCAGAAACTTTCATTCTGGAGACCACCAATTAATCTTTAGTGCTCAAATCCAATGGTGGCTTCCCAATCTTCATATTACTCATTTTGTTTTGCTGAATATATATTGTTTATTTTGATTTTCGTTTGCCCTTGATTTTTGATTTCAGTGTCTCCATGCAAAATGTATGTATGTATGTATGTATTTACTTATTTATTTACTCCTCTTTCTGTTTTTATATCTTGCTCTGGAATATAGATTTCATTCAGATTATATTTTTGATCCCTGAAAAGATTACTAACTGCAGTGTTGGTTCAGTGCTCCACATCCCCTTTAAGAGATGAACTTTAACTTCTACAAAATAAAGAAAGCAGCCTTTTTCTAGATGATTATGCATCTACAACCAACTTCTCTCACCATTGTTGACTATTAAGAGAAAAACAAAGGACCTAATAAAATTCCTCTGCTGAAAACTTAGAACTGGGAAGGGAGAAAGGAGAGAGAGAGAGAGAACTGAAAGGGGCAAGAAAAAGGAGAGATAGGGAATCAATTTTGTTAAACTGTGTGGCCATGTCTTTTGTATGTAGACCGAATAAGAACATTAATTAAGTCAAGAAAAAGAAAGCTGGATGTACAAAGAGAGGGCAAGAGAATGACCTCATTGTGCTGCATTTTGAAGGTCTTTTATCCTTGAGGAAGGCCTTTTAATTAAGCTTTCCAGATGGGTTTATCTTGTTCTCAATCAAAAGGGAAACAACTACCATTAACTGTCTTCTTTCTCTGAAGGTTTCTTAGTTGATTTCAATGAATACTTTTCTTGACTTGTTC